TAAGCCATACTGTTGTAATGCATGCAAGAGCATCTGTTGCTGGCATCAAATTCACAATGGGTATATATTTTTCAGAAAACAATACAATTTCTCAGTTTCAACATTTGATATGTTGTCCTTGTACAATTTTCAATTAAATAAAGGGTTTAAATGATTTGCACATCATTGCATTCAGTGATTTGTAAAGCTTGTCTGAAATGAACTGATGCACATTGTAAACGTGTATTGTGTCTGACAATGACCATCCAGATTGTTACCAGTGTAAAATTCAAAATCCATTGTCTGTCATGGTGTTGTAGAGAAATTTGCACATCTCTGAAAGCACCATTCATGGTAAAAGGATGAAAGATACATACACATTTAGGACTCTTAAACACTTTCTTTTTCAGGGACGTTCATGCTTATTCCAAACTGACAACCCCAAGCCACGTTCAGTGGCTTTATGCTGCTTGGCTGCGTAGTCAGATAGTGCAGGTGCTAGACAGATGTGCCTGCAGTCCAGAACTGTCTCCTATTAAAAATGTGGCACATTATAAAGTGCAAAATACAACAGCAAAGGTCCCATATGGTTACACAACTAAGATTTGTATAACTGAAGAATGGCAAAAAATGTCAAAACTCAATCAGTTTGTGTCTTCAGCCCCCGGACAATTATTAAGTATTAAGTATATTAAGTATTAAGAATTAGGAAGAAATTAATGTGGTCTACATGGAAACGTGTTTGACCTAAATTGTCTACCGTTTAGGTTTAGTCATAACGTTAGAGCACCTTTCTCCATTGCCAATTCTCAAAAACAACTTTCAAATTTCTCTAAATGATAATTTAGGTCACTCGTTTCAACAACTGATTTGGTATATCCCACAACCCACATCTGGGTCACACCTGTTATTGGACAGTATATGAAAAGCTCAAAGTTTCAAGTCCTCATGACCCATATTTACAAGGACCAGAGACCACAAATGTTTCAGTTTTTCTGGAACATGCTGCTGAAAAAATAGATAGTCATACCTTTACATAGCGTTTGTTTATTACTGCATCTATTAGTATATTGCATTGTCTGAGGATTCAGTTGAAATGCTAAAATAATCTGATTTTTTTGACTTGCCAGTATCTTTGATTATTAGTCAGTGAACGTTGCTTGAATTTTCTGAAGCAAAGTTTTTTTTAAAAAGGGCTTTAATTGTTGCATTCAGTATCTACAGTTTAATTAAGTTATAGTAAAAATATAAATACTGTTATCTGAAAATGGATACAAACTATATAGATATATGGATAACAGTGACCCATACAGTGTCAGAAACACAAAAAGTCAATCAGAGGTTACTGAACAGCTGTGTGGTTTGAGGCAAGTGTGTGATGATTTAAAATTTTGCACAGTGCATAGTACAGGTGTCAACCTCTAGAGACAGTGAACTTTATATTCAAAGACTTCAACTGTATACATATACCCATGTACATTACTACATGTACATTGAGCTGGACAATATGGCAAAGTGCAATATCACGATACTTCAGGACGTTTTTTGCGCCTTGAATGTATGGACATTATTAAACGAAAAGCTATATTAACATTCTGAGCTACACAAGGCTTTTTTCTGAAAGTTTAGGCTTAAAGCAGCCTAATCTAGAAATTTGCAGAGGGTAAATGAATGCATGCACTTTTAATATCATCTTTATCATTCGTACAGCAAAATAAATGACACAAGACTTACACTAAGCTGCCTATGAATGGCTGTCGTGTGCAAGCTGTAGAGTCACTGCCACATCACTAATGTCACACAGAGGCAGTCAGTGGGGAAAAAAGGACTGTCTGACTTGCAGGATGGAGCGATACTGGAATGATTTCGAAGCAAGACAGAACACTGGCACGCTGACTTTCTAAAAAGCTGCTGTGCACTCCAAGCAAAATCATGTCACTTTGCTCCCACACTGCTCCACTCACATGTTCTTGAACAGACAAAGTATTGCTACATTTAAAAAAGTACTGCAAAAAACTACGAATCCAATCACTTTGATTCAGCATTTCATGCACTGTGCTGCACTAAATCCAATTAAACAGGACTTGTGCTGTCTTTGTAATCAAACATCGGCAATATGCTCAGAAAAGCTTATTGTGACATATTGTGATGTAATTATTAAAAATATCATTTTTCATAGCTCTATATTTACATCATTAAAATCATTGTGGAATGTTTTTTCCTATCATCAGACCAAACAATGATCTGATTGTTATAGGAACTTTTTCAGGATCAGAGTCACTTTATTTTACCAAGTAAGTTACAGTTTTGAGGAACTTGTCTTGGTGAAAGCTCACATAACTTACTGAACAGACCAGACAAGCACACAGACTGTGTACAATAAATAGTAAATATAAAAGTACAATAAATAGAATAAAGAATATGAAAGAATAACAAAGAAATGTATGAATGTCTGTACATATGCAGATATGAATATTTACACATATGCAGCTCTGAGTAGACATATAATTATTAACTATTATGTTAGTGATTGATAACCAAGTCCACGGTTTTCCCAACAAATAATTTAAATATATTACATATTTAATTATTCAACAATACCTTATTTATGTCAAACAATTTTCAGTGCATCCACATAAAGTTCATTTTTGCCACCAAAATGCCAGGTGGTGCAACCGCCGAACCATGTATGTTGATTAAACTAACCATGTATGTTGATTAAACTAAACTATCAGAAAAGTTCTGGCACGATTTTATGTTTGAAAACTTTTGTCCGCAAGACCTTTCTTCCTCAAATGTCAGGCGGCACAACCAAAAACAAAGGACTTTTATTTTGATATGCATTCACAAAAGAGGGACTGGGCTATTGCATTATAAATAATTTTGGAAAAATTTTTGGTTAGAATGGTTCATTTTACCATGTCAGGTGGTACAATCTCAGGCAAACCATGAAAATGCATAATTATTATAATAATGTGTAGTAATTTGAAATGTAGGAATTAACTCAAGTTCGAGATCAAAAGTTTGCACAGTTGTCTAAGTAAATGCCAGTTCCATTTGAAATTAGTCTGAAAAGTCAGCGGGCACAACCAATAGTAGTCAAATGGTGCAACCAAAACAGTAAAGTTTTAATAACTGAAACAGGCATTTAAAAACTTTGAAAACATCAACTATGTTTAAGATATACAACGCACATAGATATAAATGCAAATATGTATTCAGGTATATGTATACTGCTGATATTCATAGGTATGCTTATATTCATTGTGTTGTAACTACCTCATACCAACTAGTGCACTACCTGCTCTCAAGTAAATACAACCAATCTGTCTTATATGCTATGTAAATGTGCAATATCTATCTATCTATCTATCTATCTATCTATCTATCTATCTATCTATCTATCTATCAAAAACTGCACATCTGTCATGCTCCCGCTGAGGATGCCTTTTCTGTTTTCTGGATTTTCCCTTAATACTCCCTTTGTTTTGGTTACCTTGCCCTCTGGTTTTGACCTTTGCCTGCTCTGACTGTGCCTTTTGAATTAATTGTGAATTCTCAAGTAAAGACCAACCTAGTTTTACTGTAATCTCTGCATGTCTACTCTTGATATGATAACAACATTGTTCTTTTTAATAAGATTTTTTTGAAAATCTTACTTGTCATTGACTCTTATACTGAATATTACAGAATGAAATGCACATTAAAATGATCCTTTACAAAAATTAACATTTGTATGACTGGGCAAATAATCATTATGGTACACAGGAGTTATACTGTAATACAGTATGAAGTTTGTTAGTTTCAGTTTAAATTTAATGTGTGGGGTGTCCGCTGTGGTTGATGAACGCTATAGCTCTGGGGAAAAAGCTGTTAGCATGTCTGGCTGTGGCTCACCTTGTAGTTGGTGATCTCTTGGAGCCCTTTCCAGACTGAAGTTTGGTTGTTAGCAGCAATGTTGCTTTTTTAGCTTTTTTGAGTAGTTTTTCTTTGCTGCTGTAATCTCTTTCTCTTGCTTCTGTTTGGCCTCTTTGTGGAGAATTTTGTCACTACTTCTGAATACTGCCTCTTTCTTCCTCCGAAGCTGAAAACCAGTGCTGTATTTCACCAGTAATGTGGTTGAATTGCAGCTGTCTTCACAGAGGCTGATGTATGATGCCACAGTATCTGTGTATTCGTCGAGTCCATCTGTTGCCTCTTCAAAAAGAGTGCCATTTGTGGATTCAGAGCAGCCATGAAGCTTTTCAACATCTCCACTGGTCCACCTCTTCACTGTTGTGCTGACAGGCTTGTTGGTTTTAAGTTTTTGCCTGTATGTAGAGATGAGTTAACTGAGACTGTGGTTGGAATTTTTAAGTTCTGGCAAGTGATGTGTTGATCCGTTTTTCATGAGGTGTGTACAGCGTGCGTGTGTTGAAAGTATTTTTACATAAACGAGTACACTTATTCACATATTCCACCACCCTAAAAAACAGAACTATTGTCTAGATATGGGGAGCCTGCATTAGACTAGTCACATCTTTACACGTCCAAAACTGTGACAAAACCGGTAAACAGTATGGGCTGAACCTATGACGTTAGCTTCCATTATTTTTTTTACCTATGTTAGCTTTGTAGCTCTGCTGCAGATCTAAAGAAGCAGACTTGTCTGGGCTGATCAGTTACTTGTAGGCTAACAGGAAAAGTGTGTATTTATTTTCTTAAACCAAATTTTAAGTCCAAAATTTAACAATTGTGATGTTCCTTTGCCATATTATTCCTAATTTAAATGCTCTTATTTTATCTGAATACATTTTTTGTGTGTATTTTTCACCTTTCACCGATTTGTCTACAAATGAAGAAACCATACATACTAGTTCACCAGCAAAAATGTGAAAATGCAAAAGCACTTCTGCTGGCATATTTTCAACATTTAAAAAACTTTCTTTTTACTGGAAAAATGTATGAGAACTATACAGTATAATTACTCTACTCTATAATGGGAAAAGTGTACCCTATCAACTTTTCTCTCTTTTCTCCAGGGGATCATGAGACAAAGCAACTTGAGATCACTGCAGGTCATGTGTTTCCACTCGAGTGTGAGCAGCTTCTCCCAGAGGACACTGAAGTGAGCTGGAGTTGGGGGCAGAAGCAGAACTCTGATGAGGACGGTCTTCCTGCAGGAATGAAGCTTCGAAATCACTTGCTGTGGTTCTTTCCTGCACAACCCTCACACAGTGGAAACTACTCTTGTAATTTCAGGTGTGAGGACATCCTATCACGAAAACACAGTAGCTCCCAGTTCCCGTCCTGAGAAAGCTGATGCGTATTTATCTGAACAGAAATTGTAGCAGTCCGATGTGAATAATTCCTATCCTTAAAAGAATTATGTAATTGTGTGCTACACATTCTTATTAGGTTGTGATTTTTGCTAATGTTCTATAAGTTTCATCCAAAATTGCAACAACTGCCACAATTTTCTTGTTGAGTGAAGCATGGAGAGGTCAGTTAGCTTACAAGTTGTATCAGGGTAAACCAAATATACAATCTTAAAAAAGGATTCTTCAAGGATTCTTTAGTAAAGACAGTAGTTCTATATAGAACCATGAACACTCAAAGAACCATCTGCACACATAAAGTCCTTTCATCAGTGTGTTGTATATGCTTCTATATAGCACCAAAAAAGGTTCTGCTATTGTTACAATGTCAAGCTTGTATTCATTACAAGAACCTTTTTGGTGCTATATAGAACCATTTTAGTAAGGTTCTATAAAAAACACATTCTCCATCAATCTCAAGAACTATTTCACCATTCAGAGAACCATTAAAGCATGCAAATGGTTGTTTGAATGTTCATGGTTCTATATAAAACCATTGTCTTTACTTAAGAACCCTTGAAGAACCATCTTTTTTAAGAGTGGAGTTGACTGATCAAGACATTTGGTGTCTGCAGTTAGTGTCTTTAGTTTTGCAGTGTGGCTATGTGGCTCATAAAAGTAAATTCTATGACTTGTTATCTTCATTAACTTTATATCTTCAGTGCAAAACTAAAGAAGCTGACTTCAGAAATGTTTTGTTTGATCTCCTTTAATCGATTTGGGCATTAACTATTTCTTAAAATGTCCAAAGCATGGAATACCCTGTATTTGGATTGGGAGTCACAGCATAACAGTACTTTGCATGGTTACTCTCACATGTCAGTAGAAATGGGCATTAAAATTAATTGAAATTTACAATCAAAATTTAAAAAATTTAAAATGCAATTTATTTATGATTATCTGATATATATATATATATATATATATATATATATATATATATATATATATATATATATATATATAAATATATATATTAGGGGTGCGGGAAAAAAAGATGCATCGCGATGCGAACGTGAACGATTCTGAATCGATTCACAAATGTCAAAGATCGATTTTCTAAATATTTAATTTATAATGTAATGTTGACAGACCGCAAAAGGTTCGACTGTTTTACAAGGCTGAAGTCGCTTCTTATTCTCCAGCTTCTTGTTCGAATTTACCCGTTCAACCTTAAATTCTAACTGAGGCGCCGAATGTAAATGCGGCACCATTTAAGGTGGAACGGGAGAATTTGAAAGAGAAGCGACTTCACCTTCACCACTTCTTAGTGTTTGACAGTCTCTCGTTGCAGGTTTAACGTACCAGGAAACCAACTGCGCTGTTTATAAATGTGAATAACGCATTGCTGCTATGTGACCTGCAGTCCGCACGGCGGTTCTCAGTCATTGCGAAACAGGGCTTTCGCGCTATGTTTCACACGACCCGTCTCAAAGACATTTTACTGACACAGCGATCCCCCCGTCTCTACAACAAGACCAAAACCGAAGTTATAAAATCACTAAAGAAAACGGGTAGAATAGCTGTAACGCGCTGCGTGGACATCCATCACCACTGGATCTTATTTCACCGTAACTGCGCAGATGAGTGGCAGCAGCGTCTCGTGCTCCTAACAAGAGCACTGAATGAGAGCCTTCTAGTTCACTTGCCACATCACTTCCATTTGTTTTATAAAAAAAAATGTTGGAAGTAAATTCATTATGGATCATTACAAATACTTTGCTTTAAAAGTTCCAAGTCACTTTAAATAACAATAAGACCGAGTTACTTAGTCACTTTAAAATGTGTATTGTCTCTATATTTTGTGTATATTAAATATATTTCAGTTGGTTGTATTTTTATTTTTACTTATTTACTTTCTGTAGAGTGATTAGCTGAGCCTCACCACAAGCATTTCAATGCATAAATGTCCTGACATGTTGTGCAAGTGACAAATAAACTTGAACTCAAAACTTGAGCTCACACAATGAGAAAACATAAATGCTATATAGAAGAAAAAGATGCATCGAGATGCATCGATAATCGTTTTATAATCGCATCGCAGCCCTCTGAATCGTAATCGAATCGAATCGTGAGGTGCCTAGAGATTCCCACCCCTAAAATATATATATATATATATATATATATATATATATATATATATATATATATAGAAAGTCTTTATAGGCATTTATGCATTGCTGCAGTTTAAAGCATCATTAAAAATGTGGGCTAATCTGTCAGCATTTTGGTCACTGCATGCTGGAATATTCGACATTTGAATTGTGCTTATTCTGTTAGGCTGTTACTTATCTACGTGAAGTGGACAGTTCGGAGCTAGCTTTTAAGCTTGTGAGAAAACTTGTGGGAAAATCTGGATTATACTGTAATTAAACATTAAAACAAGGTTTGGTATTCTCCAACAAGATAATATAATGCAGTAGGCCCTGACGAGTGAACATTTTGTCACTAATATGTAACCAATATGAGATAAGAACATACTTGACTCATACAACTTTATATGATCAAAAATGAAAGAAACTGGTAGTTAAACAGTGCTTTCCAAGTTACCTTAACACAGGCCAATTTTATTAGCCAAATGATTCATCAGTTGGAGTGTAAACAGAAGCTGTCTCCCATTTACAGCCTTTTATGACTCTGACACTATTTCTCCTTTGTATCTGTGTCCTCATAATAGGCGCAAGGGGAGAAAAGAAGAAAAAGTTGTCAACTTTGTCATTTCTGTAGCCAATAGGACTTGTCCCTCAGTGAAACCCTTCCCAATCCACCTAACCAAGGGCATTAATCAGCTCCTCAACTGTAACTCTGGCCACATAAGCAAAATCCTCAGTTTAGGTGCTGATTTTCATGTGACCTGGATGAAGGTATGACTTTCTACTGAGACATCTTTTTCATTTGGTTTCATAAACAATCTACATTATTACCTAATGCAAATCTACTTTGAGTTGAGCTTTCTGTTCATAGAGGTGGATTTTTGGTTGGCTTATAAATCTCACTGGCCACTTCATTAATACACCTCTATGTGTATTGTTCATTTTATCAGCTCCACTTACCATATAGGAGCACTTTGTAGTTCTATAATTAGAGATTGTAGTCTGCAGTGACACTGGCATGGTAGTGGCATGTATGCTTATGGTCATGCAGGTGAAACTTCATTTTCTTTTCTTTTCTACCTCTGCAAAGGACTGCAGCCCTCTTCCTTCAAAAGGGATCATTCTTCAATTGTTGAGTGTTAAAGAAAGTTACAGAGGAGAGTATACCTGCTTATTGAATTTTACCCATGAAGGAAATTCGTACACCGCTGCCCAGACCCTGACAGTGTCCGTCATTTCTGGTAAATAAATAACATTTATAAAATTTCTAAACAATGTTTAGAAAGCTATGCATGTGATATGTTTCTATATACCATTTTTTTTGAGGTTTGTGTTTCTGAGGTGAACACTGTGGCAAGACCCAAATGAGCAGGTCATAGTAGACCACAAATGTCACTTGCAGCTGCGTAAAGTGGCTTCATCTCCTTGTCATCAGTGCTGGGGTTTAGCTACTAAAACAGTAATCCATTTAAAATCACTAATTTTGTTTATCAAACTGTAATGGGATTTCTTTACTTATAACTACTAGGGATGTGCATTTAGACAAATTTGGATATTTATAAGTATTCGTGGTATGCATAAATGAGTTCATGAATGGATATTAGAGATAAAGATAAAAATGGATTTCAGATAAAATTAATACAGACATGTAACTTTCCTTTTTAGGTGTTGCACAAGAATTTAGAATCACGCAGAGGAATACCTTTTAAAACATGATTTGTTAATCAAAATAGCCAAGGGCTTATCAATTTCAGGTAAACCCATGAGTATTTCTCTCTTTACCTGGGCATATTTAAACAGATTTAAATATCTGGGGGTGAATGTATCTCCTAAACTTAAAGGAGCACTATACGATTCTCAACAGTATAACAAACACACCCCTCCCTTCAGTGCTCCTTCAAAAGCTCTGCACCCAAATTCATGGATGTGCATTGTCGAGGTCAACACGCTTTTTGAGATCTTTGTGGCCATAAAATCCTTCGCAAACATTGTACACACAAATACCATAATATAACGTTAGAGTGAACAGTTACAGTTAGACACAGCAAGTAATGTAACGAATGTTAGCTAGGTAGTGGGTTAGCAAACTGCCGCTGCAGTTGTTGCTGTGAAGCTTACCAGTTGCTATCACAAACATTCACAAACAGGACAAAACAAAACTGCCCTATTGGTTCTGTGAAACCGCAAAAATGAGTTAATGCTACCCACTTGTCCAGCACGAGCAATCTCCCTATCTCTTTCTATTCATTTCAACTTTCAATGAAGCTAAAGTCAGCTTCTTTTTTGCCAGCTTCTTGTTTTAATTTTTCCTGTTCCAGCTTAAAAGGTGCAGCAGCTAGCCTACATTCCAGCACCTGATTCTTGTTTGAATTTTCCTGTTCCACCTTAAAAGGTGCAGCAGTTAAGACTACAATCTAATGCCTCAGCTTCTTGTTCAAATTTTGCCATTTCCCCTTAAAAAGTGCACCAGTTAAGACTACATTCAAGCACTTCATCTTCTTGTTTGGATTTTCCCGTTCCACCTTGAAAAGTGCAGCAGTTAAGACTACATTCTGGAGCCTCAGCTTCTTGTTAGAATTGTCCCGTTCCGGCTTAAATTGTGCATGCACGCTGTTTAGATGGTCACTGGAGGGCCAAACAAAATGTGGGGAGGGCCACCGTTTTCACAGGGCGGGACTAACATGCATGCACGGCCAGACCGGCCATAAAAACAAAAAACAGATAAGCTCGGATTACAGCACATAGAGAGGGAATATGACTTCATTCTCTGCTCAGGACGCCATTGCACCACTATGTTTTTACATAGAAGATAGTTGCTTGCTGCTATATTAATGTTTAAAATGTCGTATATATCACCTTTAAAGATTTTTCTCCTAAATTACGCCCTGCTACTTAAAAAGATCAAGGAAGAATTGAAACATTAGAATCTGCTTGCTATCTCATTTCTTGGATGAATTAAAGTGATAAAACTGAATATATTGCCACAGTTTAGTTATGTTTCGGTCACTGCCCTGTTATATTATATTAATGCATTCTTTAAAACAAATAAACAAATTGATAAGCTCCTTTTTTTGGAAAAAACTCCTCAACCAAAATAGCTCTAAAAAATACATCTAAAGAGAAAAATTTACTGGGACTCAACAGATTTTCTGTTGTACTACTGGGCTGCCCAGACAAAGGTCTTAATATCGAAGAAGAACTTTGCTTTCCTACCTCTTTGAACTCTCTAACATTTATCAATAATATAAATGCATTACACTCAATATCAAGAATCTTTGTAATTTACAATATTTTTCAGCCTTGGCAAGATGTAAAGATGCGCAATTTTTATTGTCCTATGTACACTTACAAACTCCTGCACATCAAGCTTAAAGGAACAATATGTAAAATGATGCAAACTGTCACATTCTTCACACTCCAAACAAATAGGGGGAAACATATCACCAATATTTTCTCAACAAGAGCTGTCTCAAGCGGTGGAAAGCAACACCAATGTTAACTCTTGTTTTGGTTCTATTTATGTCACTTCTTTTCTTTGCTGACAAATGTGGTTTCCTGCCAGGAGCAGGTGGTGGTGGTGATAATAGTCGCTTGCCAAAGCCTCAGCCATAGTTGTGTTTACCTGATGCTACAGTGACTCACTACTGCCTCTTGGGGTAAAAAGTAGTATTACAAGACAGAGTAGGACAGAGCTAGCTGGTTGCATGCTATCTTCAGTAGATATCTCTGCAGCACGATACACAGACAACTTTGACATAACATTAAAACTGTTATTTCTTTACATTCTGACGATAATTTTAGTTAAGTTTGGAATATTGTAAAGTAAAAATGGGAGTGGTTTACATCTCAATGCAATCATCTTAAGCTTGTGAAACTTTTAATGGGATGAACTAGTCGACACTTGATGCATTTAATGGATATCGACATTATTTAGTACATAGTAGGGGTGGGTGGTTTACTGATATAAAACTAAATACTAGTATGATGATGATACAAATTTTGCTGTACAGTGGATACTTTGATAGTCCCAAGTACACTGAACCACAAACATTGGCACCCCTGAGACAAATTAACCGTGAGCATGAACAGCTTAAATAACTCTTATAAACTAAGCAAAATGGTGTTTTAGACAAAACATCACCGCTGAGTGCTGCTCGCAGCGCCTTGTACATCAGTCAGCATAAATTTATGTGGCTGTGCGCACAAAGCAAGTGTGTTGTTGGGTGTATGCCACGTGCACGAACCATTATGAGCAAGTTCTGTTTTGTCAGTCACGCTGTGCGGCGTTTGCACATAGTTTTACCCTTGCACGGCTTTCCATTTCAGCTCTTGTCATGGCTCTGTGTTGAACAGAACAGAGATGTCACGCGTTGCTGGTTTTCCCAACAAATCCGGCTAGTTTTAAAGTGCAGTGCAGGTAAAAATTATACAAGAAGAAGAATATCTTTGTTTGGACTACTTTTTAAATATATTACTGTTTTAAGAAATATGTTGTGTTTTTACACTGTTTCAGACGTTTACATTTGGACAAGATTTTGGGTGTTTCAGATGCTACAGCTTGCCCGCACTGGTCATTCTCACACACAGCATTTGTGCTGCTGACCAGAGTAGCAAGAAAGTTCTACAGACATATTTTTACCAAACAAATCTTAAAAGAGCACTGTACATTTGTTTATCCTGGACAGCATACTGATTTGTGATTGAGCATCTCTTTCAAGCTTTAGGAAACTGTTAAGCGTGATGAAGAAGAACAAATCAGCTTGTAAAATCCATCCAATGAACGTGGAGTAAATTTAATATGATCATTTTAACAAGCCTAGAATAGTGAGCTATTTTTGTTAGATGTAGCAAACAGTATTATTTTAGACAACAAATACAAGGTGCAAAGTGGAATTCTTTTTAGGCCAAATTTAGGCTTGATCTGGATCTGGGAAAGTGGCCCTAAACATCCAAAAGTATTCAGACAGCCTTTATAATTAGAACTCAGCTGCTTTAAGGTGCTGATACAGGTGTTTTATTACACAGTTTTCATAATCTCCATAGAAAAGCATTGACCAATTGAATGGAATGCTCTGAAGCAGCTGCACATGAGTCTAAGGTCAGCATACCCAATGTAAAGCGTGGGCTAGAGGAATATAAAAACCTTAGCATTGGGCTGTGGAGCAGTGGAACTAGAGAAAGTCAAGGCTGTTACTGCAGCAAAAGGGGACAAACACCCTTCATTTCAGAAGAAACTCTGAATGAGCAGCTGTTTACAGACTATAAAGTTAAATCATGTCAAGTTATAGCAGTGAAATTAAATAAACATTATTCATGTACTTGTCTGTTGTGAGATCTACTATTACATTTTTGTATTCTCCGCAATGGGTCATAGTAGTTACTTAATGCATCAACAGGTTCAGTTCCACAGAAGCCCAGAATGGTCAAACCACATCAACAGGAAACGCATACTGTTAAAGTTGGTAAGTGGTGTGTAACACCCTTGTCTGTTCCACAAGCTAAATTATTTGCTAAAAGTACACCTACTCTGCTGTACTTTTGCAGTCAGTTGCAAATATATGCCTGTTTTGTACCAATGTTGTAATTGAGTTTAAGTGTTTGTGTGTTTTACGCTGTAGGTATAAGACATGAGTTGAACTGCAGAGTGTTTGTTGGAACTGGTGAAGATAATTCAGAACCTACCATGATTTTTTGGATGGTGAACGGTAGTTATGCTGATGATATCTCAGAACACATTGTTACTGGTGAAGTCAGGTGAGTATGAAAATGTGTGTAGTGCAAATTATATGTGGACTGTGCAAAAAAGAAAGCATGAAAAGGTGGCTATACATTACTCACTATACAATTCAGTACATACATACATTCCCCATTAAGTGCTAATCATCCACATTTGCACCTCACCCCATTTCCTTTTTAAGTAATTAATAGACATAATGTTGTATGCAAAAGTTTGGGCACCACAGGCCAAATCACATATTTTGTTGATTTTTGAAACTGAAAAGAGGTAAACACAACCTCTGCACAAAGTATTAAAAACATTTTTTCTGTAAATTTTAATGCACAGTTACTTCATATTTCATTAACTTAAATGTAGAAAACTTCTAGTTCTGCAATATTCTTGTGCCATTTTTCATGAACAGCATGTTTAATATCTGCCCACAAATTTTCAATGATGTTTAGGTCAAAAAAGCTTCAGCGTGTGTTTCCTCAAATACTTCACAATGGATTTTGAGGCATGTTTTGGATCACTGTCCTGTTGTAGAAGCCAGCCTCTTTTCAGCTTCCGTTCCTTGAGTAGCTATGTCACATTTGCTTCCAGAATTTGATGTTATTTAGTGAAATCCATTCTCCCATCTACTTGTGCAGTGTTTCCTGTGCTACTGGCTGCACACAAACAATAAACCTGCAGTGTTTCCTGTGCTACTGGCTGCACATAAACACTTTGGTGACAGTAGCCAGAGAGATCCAGTTTTACTTCATCAGCAATTGTTTCCAGAATGCCTCTGGCTTATTCAGATGTTTTGCATACCTCAGCCAGTAAATTTTGTGATGGGGTTGCAGGTGAAGTTTAATTCTGATGGCTTTTTTATGCAGATCATGTTTGTGGAGGCAATACTGTGCAGTAAAAAGACACACCACCATTTCTTTGTCAGCTAAACCTTACTGCAGGTCCTTTGCTTTCATATAGGTGTTTTCCTTTGCCTTTCTGCTTACCATACGAGCAGTTCTATCCAGGTGTTTTCTTGTGCTACCAGGTCTTGCCATAACTTCCATAGTTCCCCTTAGTGACATTTCTTAATGACATTTCAGACAGTGGAAATGCAGGATGGAAGTGTTTTTATATATTTTTCTATCCTTATGTATCTACTTTTTATCTACAACCCCATTTCCAAAGAGGTTGGGACACTGTGCAAAATGTAAATAAAATCAAAATGCAATGATGTGCAAAGCATTTAAATTCAAATCATTTAATCATTGAAAATAGTACAAAAAATAGTACAAAGACAACATATTAGGTTTTGAAACTGAGAAATAGTATTGTTTTTTTGAAAAATATATGCCCATTTTGAATTTGATGCCAACAACATGTTCCAAAAAAGTTGGGATGGGGGCATGTTTACCACTGTGTTTCATCACCTCTGTAATGAAAATCACTGCATGGGCTCAGAAGCACTCCTAAAAAACACTATCTGTGAAAACAGTTTGTCGCTGCTTCTGCAAATGCAAGTTAAAACTAAAATGTGAAGAAGAAACCATATATAAACAGGATCCAGAAATGCTGCCACCTTCTCTGGGCCTGAGCTCATTTAAAATGGACTGAGGGGAAGTGGAAAAGTGTCCTATGGTCCGACGAATCTACATTTGAAATTATTTCTGGTAATCATGGACACTGTGTCCTCCAGGCTAAAGACTACTCAGCTTGTTATCAGTGCACAGTTTAAAAGCCAGTATTCATGATGGTATAGGGGTGCATTAGTGCACATGACATGGGTGACGTGCACATCTGTGAAGGCACCATTAATGCTCAATGATATATACATGTTTTGGCAACATATGCAAACACAAAATGCAGTTTATAAATGAAGATCTTTATTATTAAGGGAAAAAGAAATCCAAACCTACAGGGCCCTGTGTGAAAAAGTGATTGCCCCTAAACCTAATAACTGGTTGGGCCACCCTTAGCAGCAACAACTGCAATCAAGCATTTGCGATAACTGGCAATGAGTCTTTTACAGCACTGTGGGGGAATTTAGGCCCACTCATCTTTGCAGAATTGTTGTAATTTAGTCACATTGGAGGGTTTCCGAGAATGAACCGCCTTTTTAAGGTCATGCCACAGCATCTCAATCGGATTCAGGTCAAGACTTTGACTAGGCCACTCCAAAGTTTTACTTTTGTTTTTCTTAAGCCATTCAGAGGTGGACTTGCTGGTGTGTTTTGGAGTATTCTCCCAAAAGTCTTGGGGATTATCAAGATGTTTTCTGGCAAAACTGAGACGAGCCTTTATTTTCTTTTTGCTCAGCAGTGGTTTTCGTCTTGGAACTCTGCCACGCAGGCCATTTTTGCCCAGTCTCTTTATTATGGTGGAGTCTTGAACCCTGACCTTAACTGAGGCAAGCGAGGCCTGCAGTTCTTTGGATGTTGTTGTGGGGTCTTTTGTGACCTCTTGGATGAGTCGTCGCTGCGCTCTTGGGGTAATTTTGGTCGGCCGGCCACTCCTGGGACGGTTCACTCCTGTTCCATGTTTTCGCCATTTGTGGATAATGGCTCTCACTGTGGTTTGCTGGAGTCCCAAAGCTTTAGAAATGGCTTTATAACCTTTTCTAGACTGATAGATCTCTATTACTTTGTTTCTCATTTGTTCCTGAATTTCTTTGGATTGCAGCATGATGTCTAGCTTTTGAGGACCTTTTGGTCTACTTCACTTTGTCAGGCAGGTCCTATTTAAGTGATTTCTTGATTGAGAACAGGTGTAGCAGTAATCAGACCTGGGTGTGGCTAGGGAAATTGAACTCAGCTATCCAAAGATGTGATAGACCACAGTTAATTTATGTTTTAATGGGGGGCAATCACTTTTTCACTCAGGGCCCTGTAGGTTTGGATTTCTTTTTCCCTTAATAATAAAGGCCTTCATTTATAAACTGCATTTTGTGTTTACTTGTGCTATCTTTGTCTAATATTTACATTTGTTTGGTGATCTGAAACATTTAAGTGTGACAAACATGCAAAAGAATAAGGAATCAGGAAGGGGGCAAACACTTTTTCACACCACCGTATATAAAAGAAAAAAAAAGAAATATATCTACACCGACTGTGAATATACACGTATACACAATATACACCAGTATTGCACTATTTTCTATACAGTACAGTACAGTAATAAGTTATTTAATAATACTATGAAATGTACTGTTGTACCCATTCCGTATGTGCAATTAGTCTCAGGTAGATAAATAACTGAGATGCAGGTACACAGGGGATAGAATATTTATATAGAAATCTTCCAGATTATACAAGATATGGATAGAAGATGTACAAGATGTCAATCTATATGTGTAAGTACAGATTTGCTAGATTGAAGATGCATAAGATCTGAGTGAGTCTGATGAGATGTGGATAAGGTGTAGATTGTCCATGGAGATGATGAATCAGAGGTGCAGTGACAGGCCTATAGACCAATACACCAGCACTACTGGCTGTTCAGCAGCCTGATGGCTCAGGGAAGTAACTGTCTCGTAACTGGCTGGTTCTGGACTTTATGCTTCTGTACCTCCTCCTGCTCGGCAGCTGTTGAGAACAAACAGTGGCTTGGGTGGGTGGAGTCCTTTAGAATCCTCCTGGTCTTCCTCAGGCAGTGGCTGGTGTATAAATCCAGGAGGTTTGGGAGCTGGACCCTGTTAATGTGCTGGGCTGTCCGCACCACTCTCTGCAGAGCTTTCCGCTTAATGGCATTGTCATTGGAGATCAGGCCCACAATTGTGCTGTCATCTGCAAATTTGATGATGACATTGGAGCTGTGTCTGGCTGAGCAGTCGTGGGTGTACAAAGAGTACAAGAGAGGGCTGAGCACAAAGCCCTGAGGAGTACCAGTGTTAAGGGTCAGTGAGGAGGAGGTGATGTTGCCCATCCTTACCACCTGGCATCGGTCCGTCAGGAAGTTCAGGTCCAGCTGCACAGAGAACTGTCCAGACCCAGATCCTGAAGCTTAATGTCGAGCCTTAAAGGGCACGATGGTGTTGAATGGTGAGCTGTAGTCCACAAACAGCATTCTCACATACGTGTTCTTTTTGTCCAGATGGGAGAGGGCAGTGTGTAGAGTCAGGGCTATCGCATCATCAGTGGATCTGTTCTGTCTGTAAGCGAACTGCTGTGGGTCCAGAGTGGCAGGTAGTGAGGAGCAGATAAAGTCTCCTCAGTACCTGCCACTCTGGACCCACTGCAGATAATTCTTTTCACTTCAAAAATGAACAACATATGTAATTTGACCACAGATGCCCAAACTTTTGCATACAACTTTAGTAATAAATGAATATTTTTATTGATTGATTCTACACATTAGTGTTTGAAAGCACCTTTGTAATGGAATAAGCTGGTGTTCTCAATGTAGAATGTCAGTGGGGTTATAAAAATTGAGCATCGTCTTTTGACTCACCCTGAACACTCTCGACCTACATGCCTCTGCTCTGCTAATATACAATCCCACTGAACACCTATGGGATAAACTGTAATGTTGATTGTGAGCCAGGCCTTCTCGTCCAACATCACAAATGGTCTTTTGACTGAATGGGCACAAAGTCAAAAGGGGGGGGACTCCATATCAATGCCCATGGTTTTGACATGGGATGTCCAACAGGCTCATATAGGTGTAATGGTCAGGTGTCCACATATTTTTGACCATTTAGTGTATATGTTAATTGCCATTACAAGCTTCAAATAAAACATATGGAATGTAAAGTAGAATTATTGTAACAGTGGGGTTTTTTTGGTCTTGTTTTTTGACTCAGATTTTGATATTTTTGGACTGAACTGAAGGCCTAGTTCTAGTAGTCATGGTTCTCTACTTGTACAGTGATATACAGCATGAAGTCATGTTCGGTATGTTCTGAGATTTTCTCTTTTGTTGATTTAGCTGTAACTCAGTGGACAACACAAAGTACTGCGAAAGTACTCTTACCATTTTGGAAGTTCAGACAAAATTTCTGCACATCCCTTTTACGTGTTATATCTTAAACTCCAAAGGTACAAGCAATGGCACAGTGACACTTGTCCCATGTAAGTGATTAAACTATACTCACTCATCACTCATTACTCATCACATTGTTTTACATAAATTGTCAATGTCAGACTAAAACCTTGTATCTTTGCAGTGGTAACTTTAAATGTATTAACATAAGTTACTGCAAAAAAGGTTTTATTACAGGTCATTTTGAACCATTTCTGTTGGTTCAATTATGCATTAATAATTATTCATAAGTTATAAAAAGCAGCTGGCATTTTCAAATTAAAACAAATGTATTCAAAAATAAGAAATAATGAAGATACAAGGTTTTGTCCCCTTTGTGTGTGTGTGTGTGTGTGTGTGTGTATATATTATTTATATATATATATACACACACACACACATATATTGAAGCGTGCTTTGCTGCTTTTAATTCATAAATTGATCAGAACTTTCTGAGCAAAGAGAAATCTGCATCTGCAGGCAGCAGGATGTTTAGAAGGACCTATAGTAAATTTATGGCTGAGTGCTAAAGACACGTCTTGCAACCCCCATCTTTTGGCAACCTAGTGCAGAAGTGGGGAGGGGGGGGTGGCTCACCTCAAAACAGACCTACTTTGACCTAGAGGTCTGAAGACTTTCTTTTTCTTTTGACTAACAGTTTAAGTGCAACTTAATGGAACTTCATGCCACCCCTTTATAAACACCCTAAAGAGACCTTTGGACATCACCGAAGTAATTTTGGATACCATAAATTGTGACTTTTGAAAATTCCTTTATCTCTCTCTCACCCCCAATACATCTCACCTTCCCCCACAAAGAGAGACATCTAGCCTAAAACACAGGCCAAAGATGGCACACCAGTCAACCCTGGGTGAGGGGACTGTTGAGACCTCACAAGTCCCTGAACAGACCCCTGGTGTGGCCAGATACTCTTAAGTGCATTCCTTCAGTGTTGTAAATTTTGGGTCCGTGCAGAGACTAGGCTCCTGAGAGCCCTATTTTCTGGCTAATTATTCACAATGTGATGTTTAATCAAGTATCAATCAAATGCCTTTCCTTTATCAAACTGTGAAGAACACCTCTCTTACAGTTAACATGTTGCATTGTCAGACGTGAATCAATTAATCCCTGCCAAAGGGAATTGATACCAAACTCTCTACCCTATACTCTATTATACTCCAGTAGTTATTTTGATTCTTGAATTGTAACCCTGTTTCATTGATCTAGGTTTTTGTGTTGGTCTTTGATCATTCGCAACTGTGTTCATTTCACCCATTTTATTCATTTTTCTTTTGTTTGAGAAACATGCAATCCATTTGTTTCGTAATCACAGTTAATCTTATATATCTGCTTTTCTTGCAAGTCTTCTTGTAGTGTTATTAGAAGTAGGATTATGAAGTTTGTAGCTTGTGTGACTATGTATACTTTAATCATAGAGCTTCTGCCAACATATCTACAGAAATATTGATGATAATGTACTCACTTATTTTACTTGAGTTATGTAACCATTCATTTAAGCATTGTTTAGAAATGGTAGTGTGACATATAACCTCGAAATTGTCTTTTAACAATTTAATTCTTTTTTCTAAGTAGTTCCTATTTCTTATATGACTAGAATGGTTAAGGATTCAACTAATTGTATGTAACCATATTATGGTATACGTTTAAATATACTAAATATACTTAGATATATATCTGTAAGCTCCATAGTTATTTGTAACAGTCTTTACGGAAACAGTAATATTTTATATATGAAATTGCATGCTTCTAAGTTTCTTCTACTTAAATGTAACCACACCCAGAATCTCCAAAGGATTATGTGACACTTGAGCAGCATTCAAAGAAATTGCATATTCATTATATGCAACCTAAGAAACCAACCAAAACCTTTTCCCTGCCTTAGCTCTGCCTTAGCCCCGCCCCTCAAAGTTCTTTCCTTAAAGCCAGCAAGAACGAGAACAAGATACAGAAAAAGAAACAGATGAACAGGGTTGGTCCCAAGTACATGTAACTGCAGCCCGGAGAACCAGTGGGCGTAACAAATAGGCAGAGACACTGTCAATCATTTCTTGCATCGGCCAATCGTATAACAGAGATGAACTGTCAATCAAAAACTTGCATTGGCCAATGACAAGTGTGAATTACCTGTCTCTAATTTTGTGTATCAGCCAATGGTTTGAAGGAAAGTGCAAAAAGGCATTACATACTGTTCAGGCGGAAGTGGGAAGATAAACCGAAACTTTGCTTGTTCACAAAAAGTTATTTAATAGCCACTTGGCTCCTAATGGAAACTGTTTACCTTCAGTGTTTTGTGCTTATGATAATTGAAGTCTCCGGTCTGCAGCGTTCCCCTTCTCACAAAACTGGGTGTTAAACTAGCCTAATAACATCTCGATTGCACGTTAACGTTTGGCTGCTTCCGCTTAGTGATATCATCACTTCATCCATTTTCCGTCCATAACTCAGCTAGAGAATTCCATTTAATTTAACTCCTCATTGAAAAAAGTCACAGAACCCATTAAAAGTGTCAGCTGCTTCCTGGTGGTTTTCAGTAGTCGCTAATGGTGTTCTGTGTTTTCCTGAGAGGTTGATATCACAGTGTAAATGATTCAAATCAATTAATTAGGTGTTCTGGGACTGATTCCATATACAGTCGTTTGTTTCCTAATGGTCTCTGCAACCATCAAGCCAACTCCCGTTAGGAAGCAAAACCGGTTTTATTCCTAACGGTTCTAATCGTCTTCAGCATGGCTTCGTGAGTTTCAGCAGTAGCCTGTTTATTGTTTCTGTGAATAAACTTGACATTATGTTTTATCGTCATGTTTTTTTTTTTAAAGTTTCTATATTTAATTACCTTATTATCGGTATGGCAAAGTTAATATACATTCAGTGTAACTCTTGTTGCCCAGCAGTACGTGATCCGACAAAAGCACTGCCGTGGCAGACCGGCACTGATGTCGTTAACAGGCTGGCGGTGCATGTCAGGCTGAGAGTGCATGTCTGCAGCCTGACCCTTAGATTAGCTAATGGAAAAAATGACGGACAGCTCGTTCTAATCTGCGGTTGGTCAATGCAAAATGTGATTGACGGTCAACATTAGTTATTTAATTGGTGGATTCAAAAAATGATTGACAGACTCCCGCCCCCCAGTTCCCTCCCCTTTAGGTCTCCGGTCTGCAGCATTCCCCTTCTCGTCGGTCCTGAACCAACATGTAACCTTAACGTAAAGAAGCCCGCTCTCCTCTTTTTTTGCACTTCAGCTAAGTTCTGCAGATCTTAAATGTGAGCTGTTAGTTCGTTTCATCTACTCAGTAATCTTAAAGTGTTGTACCTGTAAGGTTAGACTATTGAAAGCGGCATCTAGCTACGTTTGTTTTGCAACTTTCGTTAATCCATTTTGAAGTCTAATTGGCAACGATAGGCCGCTACGAACCTAGTTTAAAAACAGAAACAAAAGCAAACACAGTGCTGACTGAAATCCACATCGAGAGCCTGCTCCAGCCACTGCCTGCCTCGCCAAGAAGAAGACCTGCGTTCCTCGCTGGCGAGGCTGCCACGCGTTGCAGGAAGCCTGCCTTGCCAGTGTGGTCTGGTCCAAAGCGTCGCCCAAGGCTCGCACCTCCAGCGACCTTGTCCTTTGACCTACAGACCCTTCCTAGCCCATGTGAGCAGCGGCTTCTCTTCCTCAACGTGGCACGTGCATTAACACGGCTCTGAGGCGTCCAGCAGCTTTGCCCTTTGACCTGCGGACCCTTCTCCAGGGAGCCCAAAGCAGACCAGTACCAGAGAACCTGAGTGTACAGGCTGGGCGTAGGGATGTAGAGGTTCAGCAATGTATAGCTCTATTCGGACAAGATTGGTTTTACACAAGGAGGTAATGGCATTTTTGCTGGTGTTTCTCGGTGTTTGTAGTTCCATCTAAATGTCAGTCATTTTACTGATTGTGCGCTCCCACTTCGGTAAAGATTCTGCCACCTTTTACCTTCCATAAAATGAGCTGAGGAAATTACCTCAGGCTGTATTAATCCAGTGTGAATTGACATGTCAGTAAAAATGCTTTCATATTCTGTAAAAAAGGAGTTTCTGAAGTATGGAGGCTCGAAGAAGTATTTACTTGTGTTCTCTGTGGCTAAAATCAAGTCTTACGTGTACAACTCACAATGTGTACAAAAAAAATATTCTATGATGTGAAGTTGACTATTTGCTGTGACTTTCCAATAGGGCTGGGCGATAAAACGATAACGATAAGTATCGCGATATAACTTTTCCTCGATAGAGAGATAAGACAGGTTCGATAAATGTTCGATATATTACACCATTCTCACACTTCCACGTTTTAGCAAAAGCCCCGGTGGCGTTTTCTACTGCAAGGAAAGCGACACTACTCTGCTGTCGCCAGGAGAGGGCGCACTTCCGAGTTTTTCGACTTGATTAGAGCGGGAGGGGGCCACGAGTAAGGGTCGCCATATATACTTTAGCAACGGCTGAAACGCGGAGTTATACATTCCCTGTCTGAGTGGATGTTATCGGCGATCTGTTCTCCTGTGACTGAGTGTGAGTGACGAGGTCAGTGGTGTAACTATACTGTCCTACAGCGAACTCACCTCTTTCCGTGCATCCTAACAGTTTAAGCGGTGTTAAATCATGTCTGCAGCGCCTGTTACAGCGCCAAACCGTCATATGTTAGTATTAGTGCATTCTCGAGCAACGAAAGTGAAAGAAAGAAGTGGGTTCATGTTCGAAAGTAAACTGAGGAAGCTATGAGGCATCGGAGAGCGGGAGAGCGCTATCTTTCCAGGCTAGCTGTTTTTAGCTGCTGGCTAACTTGAAGCAGCGCTCCCGCACAACACGGTGAATTGATGCTAGTGTAGATCAAACAAGACACAAAATCACCGCTTTCAGTTTAAACATACCTAAAAGGAGGACTCTGTGACTGGTGTGAGAGATTCACACTGCAGATAATGCTTTTACACAGCGAACGTCAGATATACTGCGGTTCACCCCTTAAACTACTACGATAGCATAGAGAAACCCAGCCGTCGCTAGCTGGTGTCTGAATACTGTGATATGCTCTGACATGGATGTGGTAGGAGTGACATCAGTGACCTCCCGAACCGAGTTGACATTGTTGAGAAACTAAAGAGTTTAGCACTGTCGTTGGCCACTTGTTTAGCATTTGTAACGGGGTAGCCAAGTGCTCGTCACCAGGCAGCTAAAAATAATGTTTTCTTTCTTAAATCATGACTATTACAAAAATTGCAGCTGTGCTTTTCAAGCTGATAAAAACAGCTCAGAAACTTTCTCCCACTGTCCCAAGACAGATTAGTGAAATGTTCCACTGTTTGCCGAGTGTTTGTCATGATCAGACCATAAGTGATGGTTTAAAACCACAGTTAACCACCCAGGAGCAAAATCAGCCTTCAAACGTGAAAGAAATCATGATTTGACATTTATCGCGATATGTATCGATATCGAACGATATGAATTTTGTTTATCGTGATAACGTCTTTGGCCATATCGCCCAGCTCTACTTTCCAAACTAGTGACTGCATTAATGTGAGACAGCACGATATATGGTTATAGAGTAAATGCAGTGTGTAAATTGAGTATCCCCTCCCATCTCTGTCATTTATACTGAGATATCTTTTATAAACATGAACATTACAGACATCATGTGGTAAACTAGCATTACCTACCTCCCCATGGAAAAGTCAATAGGGTTTATGGTAGGTCACGTCCATGGATGGCTTTAAAGTTTATGCACAGTAACTAACTAAATGAATATGAAAATGGATGAATAATCAGTGCAGTTCATGAGGAATGGGTGAAATGTGGGAACAGCATTTAGTGTGAATTAGGACTTTAGCTAGACTCTGGATTTAGAACATGCTGTAATGGAGACATGATCTAGCATTTCTGCATTGTTACTGCTGAGCATGGGACAAAAACGGCAGTCATGATGAGTGAGCTGATATATGATAAGTAAGATTCAGAGTGGGTGTTGACAAACGTGTTGGGACATTTTCTTAGGAAATTAGTTTGATCTGTGTTGTGTTTAAGGGAATTAGAGCTCATCCAGATCTTAATTCAGGCAGTTAGAGAGGGAGAATATATTTTTAATTGATTTATGTCATCCTTTTACAAAATGATATGGAGAACAGAGTTGACATTATGTTTAAAAACGATGCAACGTCAAACACATAAAATGCAGTTTAATTAACATGTGCCCGTTATCCACATACATCTACTTCTGTCTTTCTTCACAGCAAGTCAGAGTGAGCTGTATTGCGGGGTGGCGCTGCTTGTTGCTTATACAGTAGTCGTACTGGGTTTGCTGGCGTTCCATTTCTTCAAGGTTGACCTGGTTCTAGCTTACAGAAAGCTGAGCCCGTGTTTAAAAACACCGAGTGGTGAGTGATGCATTTATTATTTTTGTAATTTTATATTACAAAAATAATTAAGTAAATAAAACAGTGTGTGATAAGTTTTGATGGTGAATCAACTAGATCCCTAGTACCAAAGATGAGATATGACAGAGGTGTTCGACCTAGTCCTTAAATGTTAAATTTAAAATTTTAATGTGTGAATTCAGTAGGTTATAACAAATTTACATAAATCAAGTTTATACACTGCATTTTGATTATAATCAGGTCCATAAGTATTTGGACAGTAACAAATGTGGGCTTGTACACCACCATAATGTATTTGAAATAAGGCAGTGTAATTGAAGTGTAGACTTTTGGCTTAAATTCAAAGGGTTACAACATTATTGCATTAACTGTTTAGGAATTATTGCCCTGCGATGGACTGGCGACCTGTCCAGGGTGTATCCTGCCTTCCGCCCAATGACAGCTGGGATAGGCTCCAGCACCCCACCGCAACCCAGAAGGATAAGCGGTTTAGATGATGTATGTTTAGGAATTACAGCTATATTACAGTGAAAATGGAGCCTCTCCATTTTCGCAGGCTCAGAAGTAATTTGACAGTTGCCTGATAAGCAGTTTTATGGCCAGATGTGGCCTGTTCCCTTTATTTTTATTTTTTTTTTTTAATTTTCACCCCGATTTTCTCCCCAATTTAGTCGTCTCCAATTCCACCCACTAGTTAGGACTCCCCCAATCACACGATGCTATCAACGCTAGGAGGGTGAAAGCTAACACGGGCTTCCTCCGAGACCTGTGAAGCCAACCACCGCTTCTTTTCAAAGTGCCGCTCACGCAACGTCATTGGACAGCCAAACGCGCTCGGAGGAAAGCGCCAACCGCTGACTAGCATCGCGCTGAGTGATGGGGGGAGAAGGAGGGGCCATCCCACCCACCCAGAGAGAGCAAGGCCAATTGTGCTCTCTCGGACTCCTGGCTACGGATGGCTGTAGCAGGGATCAAACTCGCGATCTCCTGAAGATAGGGCCAACGCTTAGACGGTTGCGCCACTCGGGAGGCCCCTGGCCTGTTCCCTTTTTAAGGAAATAAAATGTCTGGAGTTGATTCCAAGCACTGATCATTATTATTATAATTATACACTGATTTTCTAGCTGTTCATGGGAACTCTCAATATGCGGCCCAAAAAGGTGTCGACACAAGTGAATGGGGCCATCATTAGGCTGAAAAAACAAAAAACAAACCTATCAGAGAGACAGCATAAACTTTAGTGTACATTTTTTAAAAGAAGAGCCTGGAAGACCATGGAAGACATCTAAAGTGGATGATCGCAGAACTCTTTCTGTGGTGAAGAAAACCACTTTCTCAACATCTAGTCAGGTCTATGACTTTCCAGAGGAGGTCGGCATATCATTAAAGTCTACAATCAAGTAACACCTTCAGAAATATAAATACAGAAAGTTTACCTTGAGATGCAAACCACTGATAACACTCAAGAACAACAAGCAGCAACTAAAGGTGGCTGCAGAAAAGGCCTGGCAAAGCATCTCAAGGGAGCAAACTCAGCATTTGGTGATGTCCATGGGTTTCAGACTTAAGGCAGTATTAACTGCTTCTAAAGGATTTGCATCAAAGTATTAAAAATAATTCTTGTATTTATAATTGTTTGTTTGTCCAATTACTTTTGAGCCTGTGAAAATGGAGGGACTATGTAAAAATGGCTTTAATTTCTGAACGTTGAGTAGAATATTTGTTATACCCCTTGAAATAAAGCTGAAAGTCTACACTTTAATCACATGTAGTAAAATGTAAATAAATCTAAATAAAAACAGTGCAATGATTTGCAAATCTCATAGACCCATATTTTATTCACAATGGAACATGAAACACATATCAGATATTATAAGTGAGACATTTTACCATTTTATAAAAAATATGAACTCCTTTAGAACTTGATGGCAGCAATGCATCTCAAAAAAGCTGGGACAGGGGCAACAAAAGGCTGGAAAAGTAAGTGGTACTAATGAAAAACAGCTGGAGGAACAATTTGCAACTAACTCACATGACTGCGTATGAAAAGAGCATTTTCACCAATCTGCAAAAAACCATCTAAAAATTGGGGTACAATTTCAGAAAAACTAAATTGTGTAAAATTGTGAATACTCACCATCTATAGTATATAATATAATCATAAGATACAGAGAACCTGGAGAAATCCCTGTACGCAAAGGACAAGGCCGACAATCAATATTGGATGCTCGTGATCTTCGGGCCCTCAGGCAGTACTGCATTAAAAACAGGCATGATTCTGTACTGGAAATTACTGCATGGGCTCGGTAGCACTTCCAGAAATCATTGTCTGTGAACACAGTTTGCCGTGCAATCCACAAATGCAAGTTAAAGCTGTATCATGCAAAGAAGAAGCCATATGTCCACATGATCCAGAGACGCTGCCGTCTTCTCTGGGCGAAAGCTCATTTAAAATGGATTGAGGCAAAATGGAAAACTGTTCTGTGGTCAGTGTCCTGTAGACTCAAGAGGAGTGGGACCATCCAGCTTGTTGTCAGCGCTCAGTTCAAAAGCCTGTATCTCTGATGGTATGGGGTTGCATTAGTGCCTATGGTGTGGGCAGCTTACACATCTGGAAAGACACTATCAATGCTGAACAGTATATAGAGGTTTTAGAACAACATATGTTCACATCCAGATAACTTCTCTTTCAGGGAAGGCCTTGCATATTTCACCAAGACCATGCTAAACCACATACAGCATCCATCACGACAGCATGGCTTTGCAGAAGAAGAGTCCACATGCTGAACTGGCCTGCCTGCAGTTCAGACCTTTCACCAACAGAAAACATTTGGCTCATCGAGAAACAAAATATCCGGCAAAGAAGACCCAGGACTGTTGAGCAGCTAGAATCCTACATCAGACAAGAATGGGACAACATTCCTCTCCCAAAACTCCAGCATTTGGTCTCTTCACTTCCCAGGTGTTTGCAGACTTTTTTAAAAGAAAAAAATAAAAGAAGACGGGATGCTACACAATGGTAGACATGGTCCTGTCCCAGCTTTTCTGAGATGCGTTGCTGCCATCAAGTTCTAAATGAATTAACATTTTTCATGAAATGGTAAAATGTCTCACTTTCAACATCTGATATGTGTTCTATGTTCTATTGTGAATAAAATATGGGTCTATGACATTTGCAAATCGTTGCATTCTGTTTTTATTTAGATTTATTTACATTTTACACAGCGTCCTAACTTTTTTGGAATTGGGGTTGTACTTATGGATCTGACTGTGTCTAATTTTTTCTTTAACAGATGGGAAGCTTTATGATGCCTATGTCAGCTATCTCCATAGCAGTGATCAGAGCATATCTTCTGCAACAGCCTTTGCCTTGCATGTCCTGCCGGAGGTGCTAGAGGATCATCTAGGTTACAAACTGTTCATCAGTGGTCGGGATGATCTACCAGGAGCAGGTACACATACAGTCAGGCTCATACTGGGGCACATCCTTTAATGTTTAATTACTGTATGTTTAATAAGCCACAATACATACACTATAAACAGTCTGTTTACAGTATGTTTAACCCATACATTTGAGATATTATTGTCATTTTGCTCTACGTTTCACATTTTGTAAATCATAGTTAATTTAGTTGTATTTGCTCAAATTTTAGCCTAAAGAGAGACTTTTGTATTTTATTATAGCTATAGATACAAATGTTTGGGCACCCCATTTAAATTCCATGTTGGTGTTAATTTTGTAAATGTTTGTGTAAATAAATTAACACATCCTCTACTGCGCACACACTTCTGCATGTTCTAATACACAAATACTGTTTATTTGCTGAATTTAACATATTGGGGGGGGGGAGCATAATGTTGTCTGTGCTTAATTTATGGCAAATTTAAATTTAATTTTTTCCAACTCTGTTAAGCATGTAAATAGAAATTGTGCACCATAATTGGCAGAAAAATTACCTGTTGAAGTGTGTTTTATTTTTGCCTGAAGCTATAAAAAAAGGCCCTGTTTTTTTTTAATGGGGAAAAAATCTCTCCATTCATTTATTGCATTAGTAAGTTATTAACGTATCAACTTCATAAAGAATTGCAATTGCATTAGATTTACAACCCCAATTCCAAAAAAGTTGGGACGCTGTGTAAAATGTAAATAAATGTAAATAAAAACAAAATGCAATGATTTGCAAATCTCATAGACCGTATTTTATTCACAATAGAACATAGAACACATATCAGATGTTGAAAGTGAGACATTTTACCATTTCATGAAAAATATTAACTCATTTAGAACTTGATGGCAGCAACGCCTCTCAGAAAAGAACTACAACTAACTAACATTAACTTGCAGGACTTTGTTTTTTTTCTCTCCGATATCCCATCCAGCATTATGTGCTGTTATCAGCAGATACCCACTGATAATGAAATGCCATCTCTACTTAATGTGTAACATCTCAAATTACACATATGCGCATTTACAGCAGCACCATAATATTGTTCCACGTGCTAGGAAAAATTAATGCTGTGTGAATGCATAAAAGATCACAGTCGCACACATACTATAGACCTTCTTGTGCAGGTGTGTACATCTTCATTTAAATATTTTGTTGAGTGCAAGTGCTCATGGAAGTCATACTCAATTAATTATAGTTAATTATTTGTCAGCCATTCTAACTACGTGGTGTTGCAATATCAAACATTTTCACACTGCCCAAGTCATCTGCTACAACAATTCAGTTCTGAAGTTGAAGGTAGTTGTAGTTCATCAGGTAATATGAACACTAGAGAACAAATCCAGATGTCTGTAAACAAAGAGTTTTGCAATGTACAAAATGCCCAGAACTTGTTTAGTTTGAGGCTCTAGGAGAATCAGAGATTTGGGATTTAACACTTCGCCTCCCAAATTCGCCTTTACTGTGGTGGGTCTGTGTACTATACTTAGCCTTTTTTCAAGAATAAGCTGACTAATTTACAATTCACATATATTTAAACAATACTGAGTGTTCGCTTTAGGTGATAAACGGTTTCATTTTCCCATTTTTAAAATGCAGGACTCTACCTACTTGTGTGCTCCATGGGTTTTGTCGCACTCAAAGATGCAGAAAAAAAATGCTGCCTAATAGCGCCCCATGTAGAAAAAATTAATCTGTACATTTTGCAAAATGAACATTAAAATACAAACATTTTACACACTGCTTTTATGCTATCATTTTTTCACAGTTAAAGTGACAAGTTCATTTATTTTCTCAGTGCTGAAGAATTCACATTTGTGCCACAACACGAATATTTTACATACAGCCCTATACAGAATTCTATGCTTTGTTTTTTTCCAGCGGTCCCTGACGTCATTGCTGCAACAGTTGGCAAAAGCCGGCGGTTAATCATCATTCTTACATCTCAGGCCTTCACCAAGCCTACAAACAGTGCTACAGTGGGACTTCTGCAGGAAATGTCTGCTGAACATGTGAGCATAAACAATAACAAAACAGCAATTCATCCTGCTGTCTTCTGCCCAGCTCAAATGTATGGCTCAAGATGGGGTCCGTATGAGTGGTGGGTGGGCCTGTATGATGCCCTGGTTAAAGAGGGCCTGCAGGTCATCCTGGTCCAGGTGGGAGCAAAGGTGGACGAAGCCCAGCTGCCAGAGTCACTGCGCTACATCTGCTGCACTCAGGGTGTCCTGCACTGGAAGCAAGACTACTCCACCAAGCCTAATGCAAAATTCTGGAAGCAGCTGCGTTACCGCATGCCACTAGCGCAGAAGGCCAAACTGGGTTCTGTAGTCTAAAGCAGTCTGGTGTGGTCATATGTGCTAGTAGGAATAGCTACACCTGTGATATATACATGAAAATCATGCAAACTCTTATTTAATTCAAACATGCACAATTTCAGAACGATGCTCCAAACAGCTCTTCAGTTAAGTGATACATTGAGTATTGAGTTTTTTTTAATTCTGATGCTATTTTAACATGATATAGCGTGAAATAGTGATTGCAGAAGTTTATTATTCATAAGTTTAACAGAAATGTATAAATGCTATATTTAAAACAAGCATAAACAATTTAACACCAATATTACATATAAAAGATTCGCAGTACGTCCTCCAATTTTTTAACCTGTTGTAGAGATTTAACGAGAAACTAGTTAAAATGAACTAAAATATTCTTCTGTGTTTACAGTTAAAAGTTGAGCTCAGTTCAGTCATTCTGTAAGCAGTGAATGTCAGTATTTAAGACATGATTTTTTTGAAGTTTAGTTCAGTGTTATGATGAGTTGGCATGGCAACAACTTTATTATGAATATTAGAGTATTAATGCACATGAAAATATGGCCAGTAACACTTTCATGAAAGATTCTATGAATTGCTATGAATTAGTCCTTTATGAGAGAATGTTTTTAGAACAACTAGCTTGCTAATCACAGCTGCACAAATGAAGATGTAGGAACTCCTACTGAACATGGAATGATGTGCAGCCTTGATTAATGTTAAGTGTCAGATACATGGTCTGTTTAGCTTGTGGTCCATGAATGTGCCAACATGTCAGATTTGATGTTTCTATATATGTTTTTCTATCTTTGCAATAATACAGCACAGAAATATGGTAATTTCCTGAATCTGTAGGGCCTGCCATTTCGATTCCATCTTATTGCAAGATCATACATGACTCACATCTATAGTTATGAGGCTATAAAGACAGGTTAAGAAATAGTGTGCAAAAAGTTTACAGCTGCTAAATTTGCTGCAGCAGTTTTGGAAAGTAGCGACGAAGGTAACAAAGCATTTTGACATGGAACAAATGGGTATCATGTTATATGCAAGTGTCTTTAAAGGTGAATTTAAGAAGATCAGCAAAAATCAAGAAATTGCCTTTTAGACCCCAGAGGGCTAACCGAATATGTATTATTAGTGCTTAAATTAGCTTCACACCAAATGTACACTGCAAAGGACAAAGTATTACTGACTTGAGTGCTATTCGGACTGTATTAGTTTTCATGAGGAGGAGGGATAAAGTCATTTTACTGCAGAACATTTGTAATGATAATGACTGATTCACGTGGAATAAGATATCTTGGTAAGAAATGGGAGGGGTGACTCGATTCACAACAATTAAAGTGCAACTTTGTTCACCCTGACCATCTGCTTATCTGATTTAAGCAAATGAAGTGTGGCTTTGGCTTGAAACAGACAATAACCAACATTACCACATAAAATCTTTTTTTCTCTCCATTTACCTGTTGGTTTGAAAATCATACACTTTTCGCGTTGATATGGATTTGGGTGCCATTAATATAATCTGGCATTATTTCTAAGGACTTTTGTAGCAAGTAGGAAAATCTTTACTGATTCAGGAGCACATAAAATGAATGTAAAAAATGTAAAAATGACCAACATTGAGGATTAGGATGAGACTAAAATCACTGAGCAATTACATTACCCCACCTTCCCATGCACAACTAAAAACATTCCAATAGTAATTTAGCTAGCCACAAAAGAATATCCTCAAAGCGGAATGTGTAACAGTGTAACAGGTACAGCTAATTGTCGGTAACACATGTTGAGTAACAAGTGTATGTGATCCCGTAAGTCTGTGCATCTCAACACTGGATGAGGTAAAACCTCACTGTTACACTTATTTAAAATGTATCACTTCTTTAAACTATTTATAACATAATTGCGTGTTTACATATCAATATATTAAACATTTGATTGAACAGCAGAACAGTGGACCCGCAGTCTAGCCAGCTAGTTTATTGTGTGTGCTTGTAAACCGCAGTTCAGCATTGTGAGCTCTGCTACATCAGAAGTGAATCTAAAAGTGGGCTCATTTAAATGTAAATGCTTTACCATTTACAGTTTTTATGTGCTTGACTGGTTGGTTGTTATTTATTTATTTTGTTTTTAAATTTGAGCTTTTGTGTATATTTGTTCATGTAATTTATGTGGCCCTGTTACAAATGAGTCTTCTTGCTTAAATAAAGGCTGCTATTGAAAGAGTAGATTTGTGAGTCAGGGCTGTGTAATAACCATATTTACATTAACAAGCTTATTTAAATATGCATGTATATTAACTTTGGTTTTTACTCATATAATTGCACAGGTCTTGATAGCTGTAACATCATATTTTTTCTTATGTAATTACATGTGTGAAATGGTGTTTAATCATCTCCATAAAGAGAATACTTACACTGCATCTGCACAGCAAACAACAACTTTCCTAACATATATCACGCTGCAGTAGTACGCTTGTGTTGTGACATGGTAACCAAAGTTCTTTAAACTGTTCTGTAATGTTTATTTTTTTTTTATTTTTATGTAATTAGTTATAAAACAAAACGTATCATACATACATACATACATCATCTAAACCGCTTATCCTTCTGGGTCGCGGTGGGGTGCTGGAGCCTATCCCAGCTGTCATTGGGCGGAAGGCAGGATACACCCTGGACAGGTCGCCAGTCCATCGCAGGGCACAAAACGTATCAGTTTTTCCCAATTTTTTGTTTTCTGCATAATTGGAGCTCAACAGCTGTTCTTTACATCATGTGAGAATTTTGTGATGAATGGACCAATAGAAGTGCGACACCCCTGTTCGATTTTTGTAAACTTTTGTCAGCAACAAAAATTGACTGAACAATTACGGTCGCTTCTGCTGTTGGCAGGGTAACAATCAAGCCGACGAAGCAGGTGTATTCCAGCAAATAGAACTTTCACAAATGCTAAAAGGATCAGAATCGCCAAAAGCATTTCAAACTAAGCCACAAACGTCTAGTTAAATGTGGAAGGACTCAGAATTTCAGCTTCTGATGAGTGCTTTTAAGTTTAAGTTTATGTTCACTTGAAATGAATAAGCACTCTGTTAGGATGAGGAAGGCCTGCAAGTCTGGATTATGCAGAATGTGATCAGCACTGAATTTCATTTTTTTTTTTGTTAAAACGTTTACTTGGTACTTTTTTACCTGCGCATGTTTAAATGTAGACACTCTTTGACTTTCATGTGCAGTGGCGGGCTTAGGCTGTTTGGAGGGCAGGGGCAAAAAATAAAAAGGGCACCTACTGCACAACACTGGGGTCCCACCAGTACACAAAAATCTATGATACATCATGTAAAAGTCTTCCATCAAGTCTTTATTCTTGACTAAGATTAGTTTTATGTTATTCGACAATCCACATTACACAGGAAACTCTAATCCTTTAAAATGTTTATTTCGCAAACACCTCCAAAGTAAAACACAGAGGGAACTATTAACGTTTGTTTTACGAACACACACATACACACACAGATGTGATAATGTCAATGAGAAAGCTATTATTTGGGACCTTAGTAGTCAGGAGCAGTCACTCAAGTTAATTGAAAAAGCAACACCAAACTTTGGTTAGCTAGCTCCTTAGTTAGACATATAGGCTATGTGATACAGCTGTCTATAAAAGCACTGGCAGTTTACTTACAATAGTATTTAGTTATGCATTATTGGTAAATCTCTTGCTTGCTGTGTCTTACCTCACACACTGTTGTAGGATGTCATTACAGCTCAGACTGTAGTAAGACTCCTCTGACATTTGAACAAGAGTATTTGAAACTTTGTTGTCATTGTCGGCAACACTTTGTATTTTTCTATCATATACAGTTAACCTAACATAATCTAACCTAACCTAAAGCGTACACTGAAAAACAAACAACAGGGACAGTGCAGATGAGATTACATCAAAATGCCGGCTAGATATTGGCCTAACTTACTGACCCCTTGTAAAAGTGCAGAAAAGATTTGTTAGCAGCCATACAATTACAATTTTAAGCATTAACAGGGTTTGAAAGGTAAATTCAAAATCTCATCAAAGTATTTGGTGGCACCCCTAGACTGTCATCACAGCAACCACTTTGGGAAAGCTTGCCCTAGAGGGCATGTTGTAGGGCACTCCATCTCATTTTCTGCACTGGGATTTTTTTCTCTCCATTGTCACTTTGTGTTTTCTTACTTGGACCTATATGACACCACGGTACATTTTCTCCCCGTGAAAGGGCATCCATTAGGAAACCATCCCTCATTCTCATGCATGTAGGGACACCATTTACAGCACTGTATCACACAGGAACACTTAATTGGGCACTTCATCATGTAGGACTACCCCAAAAAGCACTGCATCCCATTGTCTCTACAGGAAAGGGTAACCTTTCGGACACTGTCATGTATGGCTGGCAGAGAGGGCAATTCACAACATTATCCCATTCCATTGGAAGTGCCCCCATGGGTTTGTCATAGTTAGATCTTTGGAAGGGCACCCTGTAATCCGCCATTTTCTCCACTAGAAGGGCACTTATTAAGACACGTTATCTGCTTTTCTTGCTCTAGAGGGCACATGGTCATAATTTGTTGCATGAAGGGGCACCCTAGAGGGCACTCAATCCATTTTTCCTATGTGAAGGGCAGCCAATAGGGCTCTTCATCTTGTCGTCGAGATCAAAAGCATTTAGCTAGTATGGGTAATTTTAGTTACTAGCAAGCTGCAAGTAACTTGCATAGCTAACTAAATCGTATGATGACCTACCATATTTACCCAGAGGCTCATTTTATTTTCCTTCCTGTCTATTTTCGCTTCTGTGTGAGCCATTGCTGTGCCTCTCTGTAAAATGAGAGCTCATCAAATTATTCATGAGCCCCCCCAAAAAGGAAAATAGCTCAGCTAGTAACACAGCTATTTACAATCACAGGGTTGTAAATGGCTGTGTAAAAATTTGATCCCTGAAATTTCAAATAAAATACTAAAATCACTAACAAAATATCCAATATCCAAAATATATTGCAAATACAAAAAAAAATTTCAAAAAGATTACTACTCGTTTTCTCTGATTCTAAAATATAGCTGTATTACTCATTTTGCTTTAATTTATTTCTATTTGTTTATTTTGCTGAACATATTTTTTGCTTCTAGAATCTCTCTATTTCTTCTGATATTCGACCTCATATTCACATTCACCAGCACTTTCTATTGGTTAACTGATTTGGAGTGACAGGTCTGACAACTTATAGCCACGCCCACTCTGAGAGCCGTGATCTGCCTCGAATACGACAGAGCACGTTGTACTGAGTGTAGAATTGCCAGAGAGAATTGTGCTGGCTTGTCCAACATTATGAGCAATGCTTGTATTTATTAACGTAACACGCACTGGTCCTGTGTAGAGATAAATATGTGTAAAATATATACTGTGGAAATTGAATTATGTTAGGTAAACTTAGCTGTTGAATAAAGCTGTACTACCTTTCGAGTTTGCAGATGCTAGTGCTAACTAGCCTTGTAGTGTCAGCTAAAGGGCTAACTAGGGGAGCTTTGTAGCTGTTTAAATTAGTGTTTCTTAACCCTCTTTCTGCTGACCTGCAGCTCCACATGTTCTAGCTATTCCTTACCTTAAAACATCAGATCCAGCTCCTTAACTGATTACTAAACTCTGCAAGAGTAGTATTATGAATAGTTTTATTACCAGTATGCCTAGCCTATTTATCCATAGCTGGCACTAGCATATGTAACCTTGAAAGGTGGTATAGCTTCATTCATTCGTCAAAGTCCAAAATAACAGCTACATCCTTTTATACAGGTTGACAAAGGACCCATAAACGTTTCAGAATAATAATTTAAAATGAATATGACAAACATAGCTCATCATGTCAGATATGCCAGTTCAATGCTGGGGGTTCATACTGAGTGGCTGTGTTCAGAAGACCTGTCACTCCAAATCAGTTGACCTATAGAGAGTGCAGGTGAACAACCTTTTCTAAGACTGAAGTCAGAAGCAAAAGAAAAATTTCAGAAGCAAAAGAGTGATTCCAGGGGCAAAAAATATAATCAGCAAAATCAGCAAATTCAAATTAAAGCAAAAACTGACAAAATGAAAAATGAAAATTCAGAGAGAAAATGAGCAGTACTCTTTTTGAAAATTTACTTTCATTATATATTTTTGCAACATATTTTGGATATTTTGACTTGCAATATTTTGCTTGTAGATTTTACCATTCTATTTTAAACATCTGGCTCAAAATTAACTTCATACACATCTGGACATTTTTTTCCCTGACCAGTGCTACATACCTTCTATGTAGACATCAGAGAACAATGTAAAATACTGAACAAATGCTTTCTATTGTACCTTTATGAAATCTTAATAATTTTTAAACTCACCTTTTGCAAGCTGTTGGTGGGTTATTTGTCATGTAACATATTGTTATCATGTTTAGTTTTAAAGCTTAATATTAGTGTGACTACTAAGATCTCCTCGGTTAAGTCCGAGTTTGAAATTAGAATGACACATTTTTTCCTGTTTCTGAAATTTGGCTCCTGAAAAATAACCCTCATATATTCTCACTCTGATCCAAATATTTTCACACGTGGTATATATTACAATCCCATTTCCAAAAAAGTTGGGACACTGTGCAAAAGGTAAATACAAACAAAATGCAATGATGTGCAAATCATTTAAGCCCTATATTTAATTCAAAATTGTAGAAAGACAACAAAACCATTTTGAATTTGATACCAACATGTTCCGAAAAACAGGGGCAACAAAGCTCATATAAAATGGAGTGGAAGTGGAAAAGTGTCCTGTGGTCCAACAAATCAACATCTGAAATTCTTTTTGGAAATCATGGACACCGTGTCCTCTGGGCTAAAGACCATTCAGCTTGTTATCAGTGTACAGTTCAAAAGCCAGTATTCATGATGGTATGAGGTGCATCAGTGCACATGGCATGGGTGATGTGCACATCTGTGAAGGCACCATTAATGCTGAACGATATATACATGTTTTGGCAACATATGCTGCCATCCAGACGAAGTCTTTTTCAAGGAAGGCCATGATTATTTCAGCAAGACAACGTAAAACCACTTTCTGCATGTATTACAACAGCGATGCTCCGTAGTAAAAAAGTCTGGGTGCTAAACTGACCTGCCTGCAGTCCAGACCTGTCACCGCTGATAACATTTGGCACATTATGAAATGAAAAATGACAAAGACCACCCTGAACTGTTGAGCAGCTGAAATCCTATCTCAAACTGAATGGGAAAACATTTCACTTTCAAAAGTACAGCAATTGGTCTCCTCAGTCCCCAAACTC